CATCATGATTGTGTCCTAAGTATACTTTGTAAATTCTCTGAGGTATTAAATATTCAAAAAATTACATTAGACATTTAATGATGGGAATATTATTGATGGGTAGATTTGCCTGTACATTGACATTAAGAACTAAATATTTATTGTTTGTGCACAATGCTTTTATAATATAAGTTTTCTCATCACACAGACATGTTTCTAGCAAGAAAACAGAACATTTATGAGTGTAACATCCTGACAAGCTGGTTTCATTGACTTTGACATGTACATATTCTTGTTTTTATTTGTGAAATTTATTGATTGTATATTTCTGCTCTTTTTGATACAGCAACAGGATCGTATTTGCTCTGTGAGATATTTTCAGAAGATTTATTGTACATTTTTCATCATATAAATCTTCAGTCTTTGTAGATGCTTTACTAATGATGCCTGACAGACCTCTTTTGCATTTTACCACAAGATAGTTTCTGGGACAGATATCACCTCACATAACCAACCATCTGGTGATTTAAATGTGATTGTTTTCTTTTTTTATGTTTAGGATTATTAATACATTTTGCAATTCAAACTCACATATTCCCTTATGGTCTATTAGGGTTTAAATCTAGAATCAATGTTTCATGATTTGATGTCATCATATACAAAGTACTGTAAATTCCAAATGCTCAAAGTTGTTAATGTTGGTTTAAAACAAACTGAAAACAAAAACAGCAATTGCATAAATCTTTCTGGACAAGAGTTCACTATATTACATATATTCCTCTCTTTGTTCCGTTTTACTTTTCCTCACATATTACTGACTAATGGTCAACCAGAAAACATTCACCATTTTCATTCATTCATTCAACTTTTATTTAAACAGGTTAGTCTCACTGAGCCTCGAGGACTCTTTTACAAGAGAGACCTGTTTTTAAACAAATAACACAGATGAGGTACAGACAACAATAAACAATCATGTAAAAAACATAAAATGAAAATTAAACAGAATAAATGATATAAAAATGAAACAAAAACAGTTAAATTGTAAAGGGATGTAAAATACTAAAAACAGGAACATGTCTGCATTGGTTTTTACCATGAATTTAACAGTTGTTTAAATTCCCTTAGAGTGGTCGAGAACTTCAGATTTTTTTGCAAGATATTCCAGGAAACAGGAGTGGAGCAGGAGAAGGCCCTTTTGCCAAGTTCAGGTCTCATTGAGGGAACACTGCAGGTAATAATGTCCTGAGAGCGCACGCCGTAGCTGCACTCACGCAGAGACATGAAGGAGGAGATGCATGAAGGCAGCAGACCACGAAGTGATTTAAAGATGAAAATGTACAAGTGGGAGAGTCTGTTTGAGATTAATGATGACCAGTTAACCAGTGAATACAGGGTGCAGTGGTGGGTATGGTAGTTACAGCCAGTTATGAATCTTAACGCACCGTGATAGACAGCGTCCAACATCTGCAGGGTGCTGGCAGGAGCGTTCATGTAAATAATGTCACCATAGTCACCATTGAAGGAGATTGGCTGATCCTTAATTTTATTATTTTAATATTAATCATATCCCCACAAAATCCAACATGGGTCAACTGAGGATTTAAAATACTAATGTACTAGAGAAGATTTAAACACATTATACATTTTATGAGGTATGCCTGCCCCCATTGTTCAACAGGTCATTCAGAGGTCTCCTAGAGCAGTGGTTCTCAAACTGGGGTCCCCGGACCCCCCGGGGGTCTGCGAGCCGGTGCTTCGGGTTCGCAAAAAGCAACAACAATTTTTTTTACAAGCTCAAAGATGTTTAACAACGTGTTAAAATACACCAAAATGCAGGAAATTGCATCCACTTTATTCAAAATTTTCTCTGAGAGACCCCCCCCCCCCCCCCAGATTCCAACATTGTTTGGTTTACAAATTAAGCCCTGTTACTTGGTATGACTACTGCTGTTATGATTCTGTTCAGTTTATGTAAAAAACTTTCTGTAAAAACTTGAAGTAGCAATACATTTATTATGTTCACTATGTGAATAGGTAAAGTTTTAAAGTTTTTTTGACACTGGTAATTTTCTCAAAACTGTAATTTTTGGAAGTTGAAATAAAAAACAATGTTAACTAAGTGTGTCTTAAATGAAAAATACCCCATGTTTAAAAGTATAAAAACGGTATTAACACAATTAAAGAACAGGTCTTAAGTATTAATGTTACACAAATGTTTCCATTGCATTAAAGAGACAAATTGAAGACAATATTTCAATAAACATGAGGGTTATGAGGGGGTCCCTGAAACATTTTCTCCACTGTAAAGGGTCCCAGAACCCAAAAAGTTGGAGAACCCCTGTCCTAGAGGTCAATCAATTGTTAATTTTTCTATGCAAAAGAAACTTCCTCACTGACAGCTATAAAGGCCTGGATGTCATACGCTCACGTCAGATCCTCTTCATCACCATCATGTTGTCTGTAGCTGTGCTGCTGCTGCTGGCTGCTGGATCCAGTGAGTCACTGAGACACTGACAGAATGATCCAACCACACTGACTCTTTATGACTGATTTATGTTTAATGTTTTCATCATCAGGTGTAAAGTGTGAGCAGCTGACTCAGACAGCCTCTATAACTCTGCAGTCAGGTCAACGTCTGACCATCAGCTGTCAGGTCTCTTATTCTCTGGGCAACTATCTAACAGCTTGGATCAGACAGCCTGCAGGGAAAGGACTGGAGTGGATCGGCATAGCAGGAGATGGATGGACCACAAACTACAAAGATTCATTGCAAAACAAGTTCAGTATCACTTTTGATACTTCCAGCAGAACAGTGACTCTGAATGGAGCGAACATGCAGCCTGAAGACTCTGCTGTGTATTACTGTGCGAGGCATCCACAGTGACACAAACATGCAACAGGCCCATACAAAAACCCCAGAGCCTGAACTCTTGTAATAATAATTATCAACCATAGGAGTCTCTCTTTGACCACTAATGATTTCAGATCAGTTCAAAGAAAAAAATTAATAAATATTGAGACGATGTTTAAAATCAACCCAGTATATAACTCTTAAATCAAACACAGCAAAAAATCCTCACTGCTGGTTAGTTTTATAATGTAACACACATATAAACCCACATAAACTCTTCAAAACATGTCAAAACATAAATCAACATCCCGATTCACTGAGAAAGCTGCAGTTTAAAAGGCCTATAAGCATCTTACAATATTTGACCTTTGACCTCAACTGTTGCTTAACACATTACACTGAAATGAAATATCAAAATTAAAAAAAATCATGATGGTGAACGGACATCGTCAACGCTTTAACATTCAATATGTCAGATTAGCATTTATATTTTGCGTGCTGATCAATGAAATTTTAATGAAGGATACAGAATAATACCGTCTATGACTTCTTATTACAATTACAGAAAAAAATGTAGTTCTATTAAAAAAATTATGTCATAAATCTTCATTATTATGTTTACAAGAACTAAAATGTAAAGTAAAATTAAACAACAACAGTTTATTGGCGTATTAGCATACTGTTAGTAAACAGGACTTCGGTGTATTGTTCCCATTACCACCCAGACATAAATGGACTGTACTTATATAGTACTTTTCTATCTTATCAAGATACACAAAGTGCTTTACACTACAATCTGTGTCTTCATTTTTTTTTCCCCACTCCCCTCAGGAAGGAGGTTGAGGAGCATTAAGTGTAGAACCACTAGACTGAGGAACAGCTTCTACCCTGAAGCTGCTAGACTCATGAATCTCTAACCAGAATAATCAGTGTAAAAAATCACATCATGTTGCTGCTGATCTGTTTCAATGTTCATGTGTTCATGCGTGCTCATCTGCTCACACAGACTCATGCTCATGTTCATGCAGCTGTTCGACGTAATGTTTTTATGCTATTAGTGCTTAGTGTATATTTAGTTGATGTTTTTCTTAGTTCATATCTTAGATCTTATTACTGTTTTTCTTATACATTTTCTTGTTGGATGTAACTGGGACCCTGTGTACATAATTTCGCTCCACCACATGTACCACATGAGGTGTGAATGACAATAAAGAATCTCTGACTCTCTGACCCGTTCATACAGCACTCTATTACGATGGGGCACACACCTGAGACAATGAGGGTTCAGTGTCTTACCCAGGGATGCTTCAGCATGTGGAATTGATCCCCCAACTCTTGCATTGGAGGACGACTGCTCTAACCACTCAGCCACAGCCGCCCCACATAAAATCTGGAAATTTTTTGGGTGTCTCTTCTCTTCAGTTCATCGATAAAACAAAAATCTATTAGAGGTAGTTATGCTGTAGTATTTAAACATCTCCATCCTCAGGATGATGGATGATGAACACTGTTGCTGGTTTCTGTCTCTCTCTGTGCTGTGAGTCCTCCTGCTTCAGACACTGTTCGATCATTGGTCAGCAGCATCACAAAGCTTCTCAGATGACCATCACCCTGTTTTCTGTCATTTTCTTTATCCCAATAGATGTTACAGGTCAGAGTATGGAGTTAATTCCTTCAAGTGCAGATGCTGAAAAGATCTGGAGAGAATCTCAGTTTGTCCTGCAGAGGTTCTGGGTTCTCATTTTCTTGCTGTTTTATGCAATGGATCAGACAACCTGCAGGAAAAGGACTAGAATGGATTGGGGTTGGTGCATCTGATTTTAGCAATAACTTTTATTCCATATGTGAGGGGACGTGTAGAGATCAGCAGAGATGACAACCTGGTGTATCTGAGACTGTCTAACCTAGTGCTGGAAGATTCTGCTGTGTATTACTGTGCAAGAGTCACGGTGACACAAACAAGCAGCAGAGCTGAACAACGCCCCCCCACACACACACACACACACACACACACACACACACAAAGACTGAACTCTGATAACATGACGGTGCCAGAGGAGGAGACCTCACGTCACTCACTAATGAGTCAAAGACAGTTTTTTTTATGTTCAATATAGTACGTGTTAAACATAATTGCATATTTTTATTTGCTTAGAGATAAAATGGGACAGAACAACTGAATAAAAATTGCATGTGAAAAAATAAACCCCTGCTTGCTTAAAGTTAGAGGTATACTGTGCCTCTAAAATTGTTCATTCATTCAACCTTTATTTAGACAGGTAAATCCCATTGAGCTTCGAGGACTCATTTACAAGAGAGACCTGATATCAACAAAGAATGATGACAACAATGGACAACAGCGACAACAATAAACAGTTATAAAAAGTCATACAATTTTTTTTTTTTTTTTTAACAAATAGGATGGCAAAAAAAAAAAAGTAACAAAAAACAGCTAGATTAAAAAAAGTAAATTGTTCACCCCCTTAGATGCTTTAAGTTTTTATTGTGGTCATAAATCAATCATGGTCAATATATGTAAATAAACTAAAAGGAAATCTAATTTCACCAGCGTGACACCAATTAAATTAAAATATGTACCAGTACTGTAAGATAGCAATTGTCTAAATATTCTCTATTTTTAAAGTGATTATCCTAGATCATTTCAGAGAAAAGATAATAAAAACATACAAGTCAGTGGATGGAAGCATGAGTTAGGACAATGTACACTTGAAAAGTGGACCTGAGTGAAAAGTTCACACATTACTTTGCCACTCACTGGCAACCAGATCTCCAAACAAAGACTGGCATGTCTTCTATAGTATGAATCTTCTAAAAAAAGAAACATAAGTCAAATCTGAACTTTGACGTATGTTTAAAGTTTTGAAAATTAATTAGTGTCAAGTTAAAGTGTATTATTTGCATTCACCATGCCTTTCTGTCCTGTACCGTGATACAGTGTTCCCTGTGACAATCAGTGTTGGTCAGTGAGGAACAGAAATAACTGCTTTTCTTATCCTGAAGGTTTGATTGAAATGATACATTCAATATGATATGGTGACCTGTCTTTGAACAGAGTCCTTGACTCAAATGATCAGATCCACTCCTTCCTGTCTGCAGCGGACCTTTTCAAGTCAAGTCAAGTCAAGTCAAGGTTTTTTATTGTCATTTGCATCACATGTGGCACATGTGGTGGAATGAAATTGTGTACTCAGCATCCCGGTTACATCCAACAAAAGTATAAATTGTAAAAGAAAAACATAATAAGATCTAAAATGTGAACTAAGAATACGTTACAGCTCGGTCATGGAGGGGAGGGGCTGAGGGCTTGGGCTGGAGGTTTTTCTATAAAACTAACTTGTCCAGTTCAGGAAGTTAGAGCAGGGCAGAGTTTCAGACAGATGACAGCATTGATAAGAGTATGATCTTGTTAGTGCATTGATCTTCTGTGAATGCTGGGCTGCTCTCCAAAACTTTGTAAATACATCTGACCTTGTATAAATATGATGAACTACACCTCGGTCTGGTTTGGAAAATCTTTTTTTCACGACAACAGTGTAGTGAACCTGATGACCTGATGATCTGACCCTTATCTGACCCTGATGACCTCAAATCTACCAGATGGACAGAGACTGTTATTTTCATTGATCTGAATAAGTCTGAGCCATCTGATGACTTTCTTTCTTGAATTAATCAAGCAGAAAAGACAATCCTCTATAATCATTACTGTCTTACAAATGTTTTGATAATCAAATTGTGTTAGTTCACTCAATGCTTACAGGTTGAAAAGAACTACTCATTTTTATTTTACATAAACAGTAAGTAATGATTTTTATTCCTCATTCAAAGAAGAAATCACCTGAATATGCATTTCTTGATTTTCTGTCTGAAATGAGCCAAGTCGTAAGTATGTGAAAGTTGAAGCTTCGGTCAACTAAATGTTTACTGAAGAAGAAATGTCATGTTTAACTATTTGAGAAGATAATCAGAATAGAGACTCCACGAAGTCTGCTTTTTGCAATAATCTCTCTGTCAGTTGTTAAACAAATCTCATTCCCTGACCTCGACTTCTGATAATACCTTACGTCAAAAACCACACCTCTTTCTGGTCCATCCACGAATCAGAAAGCTCTAAAGTAAACCCGGAAGTAAACTCATTTAAAATGTGAGAACTTCTCGGTTCTGTTAGAGAGTGGGAATGGTGAATAGTTCTCAAGCAGTTCTGGAGCGGTTCTCATGTAGTTCGGAAGCAGTTCTGAAGCAGTGCTCAAGGAGTTCTGAAGAGAATTGGTTAGAATTCATGGAGAATGGTGAAGTGAATGGAAGAGAATTCGAGAATTCAGGAGAGTCAGAGACGTTGGAATTATAACTTCTGTTTGAACAACCCACGCACGACTATCTAAGGATTTCAGCAGCTCTCAACGGAGACGCTGAAAGGTCTGGAGGACTCTCTATCGAGCTGATCTATCATCAACAAGGTAACGGTCTCTTCTTCGACTAAAGTGTACCGGAAGCGAGCTGAAATCTGATGAAGCGTGCACGTTCTGGTCAACAGATATTAATTCTCTCACATAGTTCTCTGTAAGATAATCTCCATTTCATCTTAAACTCTTCTCTCTCTCACAAAACTAGTACAGATATTTTAGAAATATCTGAAGCAAAGTCCTCAAATCACCGCCGAGTGATTTGAAGTTCATTATTTGTGAAACTGTCTGTTATTATTTTCATATTTTGCCAAATTAATGTAAATGTTTGATGTTAAACTTTGATTCTGAAAATAAATGACTCCATTCATTTTGATGGGTCAAAGGTAATAACGTCTCTCGTTACATTTCTTTAAATTCAATGCACGGCATTACACAGTCAGAAAGATGAGGAACTCGTGAAAAAGTATGCATATAAACGGGGATATATTGTCATACTACAACTAGTGACACGTACCCACGTGACTCACTACAACAGGCAGATATAATCACATATAGAAGTCTAGTTGACATAGACCAGTTGCATTTTTCCCCCCTGATGTGAACCAACACAGTTCTGTTTTTTTTTTTATTTTATTTTTTTAATTTCTATTTGCGATTTTGTTCCAGAGGTTCCACTGAATTAATTTCATTATGCTAACAGCATTTGAACTCCTGACAGCTTCATTACCAAGTTTGTTAGGAACCCAGCTACACTTATGATACATATATTTACACATCACTTAACAAGTATGAAAATATGTGAAAAAATGCTAAATCATGTGTAAAACATTTATTTTAGTTTTTTTTCCCCCCCAATTATGTATTTCCAATATAAACATACTTCAGTGTAATTTGCACATTGATATTCAGATATAAAATGTTGGAACATATTTTCTGTTCACAAGGTTGTGATGTAAATGTTTGCTTTCTGTTGAATAAAAACAGCAAACATTGTTTTTACTAATATACAATTACTTCCTGTGTGGAGTTAAAATGACAGCAGACGTGACAGTAAAACACTGAACACTCAGGTTAGCATGATGAATTAAAGAACACAGATGCTGCTTTTAACTCTGCTGGACAGGTGGAGATTTACACAAATTTGTGTTGACAAAATATAATTTGTGTTGACAAAGATACAATTTTTTTTCTTGGTTTAGCAGATGTTGCTGGTTAGAGTCTGACAACAATTTAGTTCAACTCATGATTCAATAAAGCTTAAGCACCCCTTGAAATATTGCATAGATCTCAATCAAGTTTGGTGTAGAGTTGTTGAACGCAGGTGCCAACAGACACAGGGGACTCGAGGGGAAAAATAAAGAAATGCATTTATTAAATAAATACAAAAACAAAGGCTGGTGTGGCAGCAAAACTTACGGCTGAGGAAAGCACATTCCCTGGACGAGGGGCAAACAAAATTAGACAAAATTAATTAAATTATTTTAAAGGGACTCTAATGATGCAATGACAAACACCTGAGGAGAGACAACGAGAGTAGGAGGAGCAGGAGCTGACGGCAAGAGGGAAAAAACACTGGGGAAGCTGAAAACACATAAAAGAAACTCAAAGAAAACCCATCCATCCATCCATCCATCCATCCATCCATCCATCCATCCAT